CGCATGTTAGTACATACGCCTATCGTATTCAGTACATATGAAATTCTTATGAAAATCATCTAGTTTTATGTATCGGCCGATACCTGAACTGATGACCTATTGCTATGTAATGAAACTTTAGCTTAATAGGAGACTCGCGGTTTAATCACTGAGCCAGGAATGCCATTCCCTCAAAAGCTGTGCTTACTAATACAGACTACATAACAATAAAGAAAAATAGAAGTCAATAGGCTAGTTTAAAGTTAGTCGATCGGCATTTTGATCACAAAAATTAATATCCAATTAAATTTGTGATCAAAAATTCATTATTGAGATTGTTGATCGCGTGATTGATTGTTGAATAGCTTTTTTTTGAACTGTGTATTCACATTTTTTGAGTTGTTAGTTAAACCATTTAATTTCACTTTTTTTGTTAAATAATATATCAGAACATAGAAAGATAGAAAATTTATTATTTTTTTATATCCTTAAGGCTTATCAAGATATAGAAGATGAAGATTTATTTAAAGGTGAAGATTCAAGTGAAGAAGAAGGTGAAATGATAATTCTTGGTTTAACTTTATTACTTGAAATACGATATTTTGAGCAAAGAACTCATGTAATAAAATCAAAAAATTGGAGGTGTAATATTTTACCAAATTATGATGATATCAGATTTAAAAAAATAATGAGAATGGATTCTATAAATTTTCAAAAGCTAATATCAGTATTAAATCCTCTCCCAATTTTTCAAAATAATAGTAATAATTTACAAGCCTCTGTTGAACTTCAACTTGCAGTTTTTTTAAAAAGGATTGGTTCTAAAGAAAATATTTTTGAAATAAGTTCAAGGTTTAGAATTGCTAAAGGAACTATTTATATATATTGTAAAAGAATAATGATTACAATTTCTTCATTAAAAAAAATTTTAGTTAAATGGTCAACAAATGAAACTAAATAAAGAGTACATGAAGGGTTAAAAATATTAGTGGAATGGAAAATGTAATTGGTTCAATAGATAAAAGTTATATAGTATTAGCAAATGCCTCATTAAAATAATTTGAGACATATTGAAGTAGGAAAAAAAGATATTCTATACAATTACAAGAAATTGTAGATCATAAAGGCATATTTATAGATTATGAGATTGGGTGGCCTGATTCAGTTCATGATGCTAGAGTATATAAAAATTCTCATTTTTATCTTAATGCTCAAATCTAAATGAAATAGCATTAAAAAGAAAAGGTAAAAGAAAGAAAGAACAATTAATAAATATAATTATTAGTAATCAATAAAAAAAATTTTTTATATTATTAAATTATTTAAGTCTATTTTACATAAAACAATTATAAATGTTATGTGAATATTATACGAATATTACGCGGACATTTTATAAACATTACATGAACGCGATCTACAAATGTTATATAAAAAATTTATTAAATTTTATCTTTTGGATTATTATTATTTTGACCAAATTTAAGTTCTATTTCCTTCATTTTTAATT